GTGTTTGCCCATTTTCTAACTGGACTTATTTTAATAAACTTATTTTAGAATAGTTTAGATTTACAGAAAAATTATGATATACTACAGACTTCCTATATATCCACACCCTATTATTAACACTTTAAATTAGTGTTATACATTTGTCACAATTAATGGGCCAGTGCTGATACAGTCTTATTAACTGAAGTCCATACTTTATTTAGGTTTCCTTGGTGTTTTTGTTTTGTTTTGTTTTTTATTTAGCTGAGCCATCCTGCCACCTGTTGGCAGCTCAGCGGCTGCTCAGCTCGGGCTGGACTCGAACCGCTGTTGCTCAGAGCTCAAACTCTNCCACAGGGACTGCAGCCTACACCGTCGCTGGCGACTCACGGCAGCCCAGCTCCAGGTTGAGCTGTTGTTCAGCATTTTAGCTGTGGAGGGCAGTGTCACTGGCCCTCATATGTGGGATCCGAACCGGGGCCCTCTGGCATTCCAAGCCAGCTCTTAACCAACGCGCCACTCAGCCGGCCCAGGAGGTCCAGTTTTATTGGTGGGAAATCTTTTCATGTACATTCCTAGTCAGGTGAAAGATGTGGGCTAACAAATTTGATGTTGATGGATTCCCATTAAAATGTCTTTTTTTTCCCTCTTTGCTCTCCCATTCCAAGGATTCCTCATACCCCTATAGCCAATCAGATCAAGGCATGAACCGGCACAACTTTCCTTGCAGCGTCCACCAGTACGAGTCCTCAGGAACAATGAGCAATGATAACTCAGATCTGTTGGATTCCCAAGTCCAATATAGTGCTGAGCCTCAGCTGTATGGTAATGCCACCAATGAAAATCCCAGCAATCAAGAGCAAAGTAATAATCTTCCTGAAGAGTGTTTATCTTCAGATGAAGGTACTCCCCCAAGTATTAAAAAAATCATACACGTGCTGGAGAAGGTCCAATATCTTGAACAAGAAGTAGAAGAGTTCGTAGGAAAAAAGACAGACAAAGCATACTGGCTTCTGGAAGAGATGCTAACCAAGGAACTTTTGGAATTGGATTCAGTTGAAACTGGGGGCCAGGACTCTGTCCGGCAGGCCAGGAAAGAGGCTGTTTGTAAAATTCAGGCCATACTGGAAAAATTGGAAAAAAAAGGATTATGAAAGGATTTAGAACAAAGGGGAAGCCTGCTACTAACTTGACCAAAGCACTCTTGATTTTGGTTAATTACCCTCTTTTTGAGATGCCTGTTGATGACAAGAAGCAATACATTCCAACTTTTCCTGTGATTCAAAACTTGAAAAACTGGTAAAGGTCTTGGAAAAACATTTTTGTTATGAGTTGTTTTAAGTTTTCAGACCAATGAATGTAATAGGAAACTGTGGAGTTATCAATATTGCCAAGTAGACTCACTCCGTAAGAAATTTATGGATACCTGCAAGCTGCTTCTTATCAGCAGGAGGGAAATATGCTTTATGTAACAGGCTTATCAAAAACCTACCAGATGAGACTGGATATAATCTGAAACAAACAGGCTCTGTTTTCTAAAACATCTGGATTACTTGTCAACATTTTTGTACATTGTGACTGTTTCAGCATACACTTCATGTGTAATTACAGCTTGGACTTTAGCCTTGTTGGACCTCTGTTTTGTTTTGTTATTTGCAGTTCACAAATATAGTATTATTCTCTACTTCTTGGTACATTTTGTAGTAATATGTTTAATATAATTATTCAAGAGACTATATTGACAGCCAGATAGTATGGCATTTCTGAATGATTTTATATCTTTCACCACTTGAATATATTGCAATGTGTAGTGAATTCCTGAGGTAAATTGTCTCCTTTTCTGTATAGGTCATTAGGTTAATTTTACCACTTCTGCTTTTCATGTTAATAGTGGAAGGCCAATTTGGAAATGGTATGGGCATAGGAATGAAAATCTTTGTGGCCATTTTTCTTTTTTGCCATTTTATTGTATTTAGATAAAGATCCACTTGAAAGTTTCTTTTTTTCCCTTTAATTATTTTTTCACTATATGCATCCATATGGGAGCATTGTGATAGATAACAGATGAAAAATGAAATGCCACAGTGGATAGAAATAATAACTAAAAGAAATAAACATGACTATTTGGAAATGCTCCATCTAAAATATTAGTTTTACCGACAAGATCCCTATGAGCAGATTTCAGCTCAGTTTATAGTCAAAACAATGAGGGTAAAAGAGAATTCATGCTCAGGGAATGAATCAGCCATAATTAGAGTGTGAAATTATTTTTTTCTTTTAAAGGTAGATTTGATGTTTATCTTTATTTCCCTAGAATAAATTGCATAGAAAGTATTGCCTGTTTTATAAAAAGATGTTTATTACCATTAAGAACAGTCATTGAGCCAAATTTAAGGGTCTTAGCTGGGTGGGCTATTGTACAGAAGAGACTTAGGTAAATGACTTACTTTTTACACCTGAAGTGAGTTCTAGTATACAGTATCTGTTATTTGAAAAACATCTGTTTCTTAATAAGATATCCAAGTGATAATGGTTTTTTTTATTGGTTTTTCTTTTGACTGCCAGGCCTATTAGTGATAATAAATCTATCAGTCATCTCCTCTCCTTATTAAAAAAAAAAAAAAAACCAATACAAACATTTTATAATGAGAAGAAATAGAGTAGAAATATTGGCTGCACCTTATGGTTGGGATGAGTGAGCTTATGAGATAATATGGTGATAATTTTACTCTAGGATTTTAATTTTTGGCCTAAAAAACCTAAAAAAAGGTTTTTTATGAAAAATAGAAAATTGTACTTGATACTAAAGATTTAAAGAGGAAGGGAGACCCTTAAAGCAAAGTTAATGTAAACCAGTGAGACAATGACTAATTCAGGAGAGAACACTACTACTGATGTCCAGGATACCAGTTTTCATTGTTTTGATTTATATATATACACACAGACATTATGAACATATATGTATATGTGTGTGTATGTTTTTTAACAGTTTTTTTTTAATTTTCAGATAATTTTAGACCTCCTGAAGAGTTGTAAAAAAGTAGTTTCTGTATACTCTTTACTCAGCTTCGCCTTCTGTTAACATCTTCCGTAACCATAGAACATTTGTCAAATTAAGAAATTATAATAGCCTTGATACAATATTAATAACTAAAGTAGAGAGTTTAAAAAGTAGCAATTTTCTTAGTTTTTTCACTAAAGTCCTTTTACTTACTATTCCGGGATCCAATCCAGGATCCCACCTTGCATTTAGTTGTCATGTCTGTAGTGTCCTCCAATCTGTGACAGTATATTATGACACCTGATGTTGTAATGTATTTCTGGTGTTGTTAACTTTAATCACTACCTAAGGTGGTGTCTGCTAGGATTCTCTACTGAAAATTACTATATTTCCTTTGTGATGACTAAATATTTGCTGGAGATACTTTGAGACTATGCAAATGTCCTGTTTCTGCTTAAACTGTTGCCCACTTATTTTTATATCCAGTGGCAGATCTTGCTTGTGTCAGTTACTACTGTGGAGTTCTAATGGTGATTTTCTATTTCTCTCATTCCTTCTACATTTATTAATTGGAATTCTTCTGTAAGGAAGGGTTATTGCTTTTGGATTTATATTTTTAATTATAATAAGATATTCAGGATAAGTACAAACTTAGAACTTAAAGCTGTAAACTATATTAAAATGATTCCAAATACCAATGTCAAAGAAAGAAAAACTAAATTGGTAGCTTGTTTCAGAAAATACAAGTATAATGAACTTATGAAGGAAAGTAGTATTTATGATTTGTGGATTTGGTTCAGTTTTTGACTTAGTATTGACTCCAGACTGAGTCCAAAATTTTCTTGAAATTTCACATCTGGACTTTTAAAAGTGTCTAAATTTATATTACTTTGTGGATAATTTTTGTCAAAATCTTAAATAAAGTTACCCAGACCTGGCATGTTAAATACAACTATGTCTTTTTTATAATAAGCCACTATTGTTCCAAATATAAACACCAATGGATATACTTAGACAAATAAGCCCTAATTCTGGAGGATGGATTATCTTGTCTCTACATTGTTGATGTGGAATACTTCGAAATGCTTTTAAAAATAGGGTTTCAAAACAGTTGTTTAGTTGGTTAATGTAATACCGATAAAGGTATGCAGGCTTTTTTAAGAATATAGATTAAATTGGCTTTTTTTTGTTGTTGCTGTCAACACCATCAAAAATTTATTTCTGAGGAGAAGGAGTACAATAGGGGCTTCTCAACACGTTCTATTAAACTGGCATTTTAAAAAAAGGTTTTTGGGGGATGTATAGTTGATGACTAGAGTTTTTCTTTTTTTCTTTTAAAAAATTATAAGTTTAAAGAGTCAAATAATTCTATGGAAGTTTGAATTTAAAGAGTCAGTTCTATGAAAAGGCATGCTCCTGCTCCCATTCCCATTTTTTTTTTTTAAGATTTTTTATTGGGGAATTGGGGGGATGGGAACAGTGCTGAGGAATTGGGGGAAGGGGAACAGACAAGTTGCTGTCATTTNTGAAGTGTACCTGGCGTATAAGACGACCCCCCACTTGGAGGCATATTTTTCAGGGCCAAAAAATCGTCTTATACGCCGGCAAATACGGTATATTTTTTAATATTCTGTGAGTGATGCCATGTTTATTTCTCTGTTCACTTTAAGAGGAGTTCTAATTGTGCTTCCTTATAGCATATGGGTCTACTTATTTATAGTATCTGTGGAACAGACTTATGCTGTGCTTCAGCCATTGACTTTTAGGTCCTATTCCTTCTGAGTTTAATTATCACCAAATCGGCCCCTGATATCTTTGGAACCAAGCTTTTTTATACTTGGAGAAATTACTGTAACTGATAGAGATGCTACAGTTTAGATCAGTAATAGCTAAAGTACACTGTGTTAAGCAGAGAGGAAGCATCTCAGAATCTGTTTATACTAGAATATTTTCATTACTTCTTTAAGGTTTTTTTTTTCAGCAATGACTGCCGTATTTTATTTCCTTCCTCTCAATCTAGAACCCTGGAGCGACCCTGCCCCATTATCCTTATGGGAATGGTAATCGTAGTGTTCCACAACCAGGACCATCTGTACGACCACAAGAGGACTCCTGGGCTTCTCCTGGTGCTTATGGAATGGGAACCCGTTACACCTGGCCTTCACCCGTGCCCTCAGCACCACCTGGGAATCTCTACATGAGTGAAAATACTTCACCATGGCCGAGCAGTGGCTCTCCTCAGCCACCTCCTTCACCGCCATCCCAGCAGTCCAAGGTAGGAGACCTTCTAAACATTGTTCTTTGGATGTTTAGGTAATTAAGAAAGCACAACATGAAATGTTTCTGCATTAGTCTGTGTTAAATGGGGACTAATTGCAAAAAGTTGGTGACTGCTAACCTATGGCTTTACTTAGGCCAGTTTCCTTTTATTTTTTTTAAGACTATTTTTTAGAGCAGTTTTAGGTTCATATCCTCTTTTTAAAATACATAAATGCTCATTTCCTGTTTGTTGTAATACTATCTGAATGTTAAAATCAAAGATTGTATTTTATTATCTCAAGCTATAGACAAAAGGAAGACAAAAACAATGTGAAATTGTATGGTTTAATTAAACCAAAGACTTGAATATCATTTGTCTGTGGCTAGGTTACTTTTCAAGATCTGTCTTAAGGTTTTAACTCTATGGAGAAAACTATCTAATTCCTATTTATTAAGTCACTCACTATTTTGTGAGGTGGTAAGGATAGATTATGAGGTGTTTATGATGATGACCTGCCTCAGGGTAGATTCCAGCCATTATACTCAGGAATTCTCTGCCTGTTACTTGACAGAGCATCCCCTTTTATCTTTTTAGGGTTGTGTTCTTCTCAAATCATTAAGGAAGGAGGTCCAGTTTTTTTTTTTTTTTTAAGATTTTTATTGGGGTATTGGGGGGAAGGGAACAGTGCTGGGGAATTAGGGGAAGGGGAACAGACAAGTTGCTGTCCTTTTGTTCTTCAGTCTANGCTGTTACCTGCCCCCCAATTCCCCAATAAAATCTTTAAAAAAACAAACAAAAAAACCATCAGCCCTCAATGAAGTAAGACAGAAATCATAAGGAAAGTATAAATCACTTTACTCACAGTAAAACCAAACATAAGATTATTCAATTTGAGAGCAGGAACTATTCAATTGTGGCTCTAAAGTAATAAAATGCATTTTCATGAATGGTTTATGGACTTTCAAAATCACCAACTTTGGGCAGGAGGAGAACACACTGGGGATGTCTCTTAAATTTCCTTCTAGCTCTAATGTTCTTATTTTATATACAAAGTAAGTGGTACAGCTGAAATTACAGTCAGGTCTTGTTTCCTGATTTAAGCAGCTTGCCTCACAGTAGCAGCCTGTATATTCTTGATCAAAATGTAGATTCATGACCCCTCTCAACAGAATCTGGGTGTTGAATCTGAAAACCTACATATTAAAGAATCTATTTAGCATACTCTTCCATTCATTAGGGTTTGAGGATCACTGTCAGCCTGAAGCCCTAGTCTTGTTATAGTCAGAGCATCAGAGACAACTGTGGAGTTTTCTCAACTCTGGATGCCTAGGTGTCCACCAGGGATTGAAGACTTCTGCCTCTAAAAACATGTATCCTTGTACCACCTACTGCCTCAACAGGCACACAACATATACTCTTTGAATATTGAAATATGGTTTATTCTGGAAAGATGGGAATTCAAAATTGATGCGTAAAATTATTCTGACATTGTATATAAAATACAGTTATTTCATGATCCTCAGACTCTTTCTTTTGCTCTTAGGCAACTTACTGGCCATTAGCATTAACGTTTGCACTAGAGCATGGAGTCAGTAAACTACCACCAGAGACCAAATTTAACTCACTGCCTGTTTTTGTAAAGAACGTTTTAATGGACACAGCCATACTCATTGCTTTTTCTCTGGCTGCTTTTGGCTACAACAGGGGAACTGATTAGTTACGACAGAAACCTTATGGCCTACAGTGCCTAAAATATTTATCTGGCCCTTCATGGAAAAAAAAGTTTCCTACCTCCTACATTAGAGAACTGAAAGGAAAAAAGTAAGAGTTTATTTCAGATTTTACCTTTTAAGTCTTTTCTGGTATATTGCAAACAATAGCCAGTGAAATTAAGTGTTGTTTTTTGAGAGACATCATAAGACATTCTCTTTCTGAAACTGCCTACCTACTGGGCCTTCTTGGGAATCTGAACTTTGTACTGCTTAAGGCAGTATTTCTCAAAGTGTGGATCTCATGCTATCTGCATCTAAATCATCTGGAGTGCTTGTTTAAAATGCAGATTCTCGAATCCTACCAAAGACCCACTGAAAGAATTGCTGAAGGTATGGCTGGACTTGATTACTCTTTTGTAACTTTCAATGTATTTGGTAGTCAACAAGATATATTTATTTGTTTACCTGCTTGTCTCGCCTGTGAACTCCTTCAGGGGTACATATTGTATTATTCATTGTTTTTGTATTACAAGCCCCTGGGTGGGCACATTTGATTGCTGTAGTTATCAAAAGGTGGTCCATGGTTGCTGAGGGGGTCTTAGAAACTTCTTTGGGGGTTACAAGCTCAAAACTTAATAATACTGAGACACGATTTGTATTTTTTTTTTTTTGCCTTGTTGACTATTGATGCAAAAGCAATGGTGGGTAAAACTGCTGGTGCCTTAGCAGGAATTAGGGCAGTGGAAACAAATTGTACTATCAGCCATTATATTGTCCATTGCCATGCAGTCATAATAAAAATAGTACCAGTTTTACTTAAGAATACTCTTCATGAAACAGTAAAACTTAATTTTATTAACTCTTAACCCTTGAGTTCACACTTTTACATATTCTATGTGACAAAATGGTTAGTATGCATAAAACAATTCTGCTTATTGAAGTTTGCTGGCCTCTTGAAAAAGCACTGGACTGATTATTTGAATGGGTAACTGAACTAGCTACTCTTTTAATGGAACATTTTTATTTGAAAGTACAACTAACAAACTATGGCTATTCAGATTTAGGTATTTGGTAGAATTTTTCTTTTTTTAGATTTTTTTTTAAATTGGGAATTGGGGGATGGGAACAGCGTTGGAGAATTGGGGGAAGGGGAACAGATAAGTTGCTGTCGTTTTGTTCTTCAGTCTAGTTGTGAAGGACGTTGCTTCACTGGCCCAAGTTGACACCATCATTGTGCTCTTCTCAGGTGAGGCAGATCAGTCGCTGGCTTCTGGAAGGCCGCTCACTGCGGCTTGAGAGCCGCTCACGCTGGCTGCTGGCTATACACGGTAGCCCATGGCAACCCACTGCAGCAGTGGCTGCAGTCTACGCCGTTGCTGGAGTCTCACAGCAGCCCAGCTCCAGGTTGAGCGGTTGTTCAGCATCTTAGCTGTAGAGGGCAGTGTCACTGGCCCTCATATGTGGGATCC